CTCTCTCTCTCTCTCTCTCTCTCTCTCTCTCTCTCTCTCTCTCTCTCTCTCTCTCACACACACACACACACGCCGAAAAACGGCATGGCGCACAGTGCGCACCCTTGCAGGGGTAGCGCGTCACCATGCGCTGCGCGCACATGCGCGCACATTCCGCAGGGCGCACCGCACCGCATCGCGCACCGCACCAGTGCGCCGCAAGTATGATATATATATATATATATATATATATCGTCATATATATTTGATGATATATAATATATATACATCGTTAAACAGAGCTGCCCGATAAACCGTAGGCAGAGAGGGAGAAGAGGACAACAAACGAGGGGCTGTGACAAACTGTTTCGTCTGAGTTTCACCGACTGACTCATCACGAGACTGAACCCTCAACAGTCTGCAGAATCCCCTAGCTGATTACGTTGTAAGTGATAATCCACCTTAACACCGGTTGTGGTTTAGTATCAACGACTGCCTGACAACTGATACCCTCTGAGGAGGTGGGCACCAACCACTGCCCTCAAGGTACCCGTGACGAAAATCAAAGCAGACTATCACTCACCCACACCAGATGGAAAACTCTACAGACTGTCGGTTCACACCCCATCACAAGCAAACCAAACACCCACGAAACAAAGAAAGGTCTGTCACAGCCAAAAAATACACTCTAGACAGGGCAGAGAGGGATAAGGGGACAACGAACAAGAGGCTGTGAGAGAGTGTGTCGTCGGAGTTTCACCTCCTCTCATCAGGAGACTAATACATACATTATATGATTATTATATGATTATAGTATTATACATATAGAAATTATTATAAATGTCGGAGTTTTATGACTGGATGGCAGATCATAAGGTCAGAGAAGTGCAGATCTCTGACAGTGCAGGTAGCCAATTTTTATTTTAATTTATTTTATTTTTAAGCAGATCATAACGTCAGCCAAGGGCAGATCTCTCACCTTGCTCATTTTCTGTAGTTTCTGTCTTCGGCTGTGAAGGCACACTGTCCTCCTTATCCACTGCTTCCCCCTTGAACTCGTTCTCCACCATTTCCAGCTCAGGCAGACGGATTGTGGGAACCGACGAGACATAATTTGGGAAAAATGGGACTATCTTCTCTTGCTCAGTTTCCATCTGCAGCAGTCAATCATTCACACCATTGTCAAAGAGTCAAAAGAGTGAAAACAATATGATATATGGAAAAAAGCATGAAAAATCAGTCACCACAATCAAAAGATCATTCACAATTGCCAAAAGAAAAAAGAAAAAGAAAAAGAAAAAGAAAAAAGTAATAAATTACTAGATCTAGTGCAGCCCCACCTTCCCCCCGTCCCCGCTCACCCTGGATAAGAAACCCGAAAGCCTGGCGCGCAGCTGGAGTTTGGGAATGGAGACGGAGGACCTAGATAAGAGATCATTCACAATTGCTAGCAGCTAGGGAAGTACTTCGTTACCGTCTTCACCTGAACAGAACGCCAGGTCATTATCGCAGCATTTGGGCCAAGTTGCGGTCCAGATACGGCCATAATGACCGGACGTTCTAGTCTGGTGAAGCTTGGAAAACCTAGCCCCTCTCCTTACACCTACCCACAAAAACCTCCCCCCTTACACTTCCTCCTCAGCTACCGAAGTACTTCGCTACCATCTTCACCCGAATAGAACGCCAGGTCATTATCGCTACATTTGGGCCAAGCTGCGGTCCAGATACTGCGAAATCTGAGCCCTTAGCCCTAAACGCACTCGGTTGAGTAATAAGTCCAACCTACCAGTACTGGGCATCTTTTCCCAACGGAAGAAAAATTCCCATGAATTCCAATGAATGTGTGCAGAATACACTAACCCACCACCTACTCAAATTTGTTTTCAACATCCTACATGCAGGATATATAAATTATTAAATCTCCAATGTAGATTTACTGTGACCAGTGTGATGCAATTTGCACGCAATTGTACAGCATATCAACCACCCGTACATGCCACCCGCCAACTCAAGAATCACGATTGATCACTCTTAAACTTTCCGAGGAGGCGCAGCACAGGCCCGAGCCGCGGGTGGATGGACAAAAAGAAGTTGTCCTGTGCCTTGGGGTGGGACCAGGCGTGGCACTGGACAAAAAAAAAAACTTCCGCCCGCCCCCAGGCTGGCCCTGTCCCAAGTCCCAAGTCCCAAGTCCCAAGTCCCAAGTCCCAAGTCCCAGAACTTTTAGGCGTGATCAATCTTTGATTCTCAAGATGTACAAGTGGTTTAAACCACCACTCCATCACCGATTCTCAAGAAGTTCCAAGTCCCAAGTCCCAAGTCCCAAGTCCCAACCCCCTTCTGCCTATTCCTGCTCAACTCAAAGATGCAGAAGTAGTTTGGAAAAGTGGGAGATACAATGCAAGAGAAGGGGAGAATTGAGGATTGATGGTAGGAAGGCGATTTCTTTTCTCGCTGTTATACTCAATTTGGATCGTTTTGTAAAAGATGTATCAAGATGTATCAAAGGGACGCTGGACCTGGTTTCCAGCAGGTGTAGCTCCCCACCAATAGATCGGAGCACAAGGTGAAAAAAAAAAAAAAAAGGATAAGAGCAAGTGTAGTATCTGATCTGATGAGCATCATATCTGACGCTTTAAACTACCAGTACATGTGAACCTCTTTCCGCCGTGGCGGATTTGCACTGCACACCAAACTTTGCCGAACCACGAGTGGCGCAGTTTTTCTTTCTTTTTCTGGCTGACACTGACAGGCATTTTGATTTTGATCCGCTTGCACTGTTCACCCGAAATCTGCAGATGTGCTTTAATTTCGAATTTTCGATCCTTAAGTCTGCCGTGGTGGATGTACTGGTGGTTAAAAAGGAAGAAGAAAAAATCAAAACAAAGAAAAAAAATGGCGATAATACTCATAAGAGAGGATAAGATCAACTGTAAGTATCCGTTCTGATTGCCTTAACAAGTTAATAATTCTTAATTATAAGTCAGTATCTTATTATCCCTTTTTTTTTTTTTTAAGGCTAATTTTTTAAGCCCAACCAATTCAATTACCTGTCAAATCTGGACAGGACGGCCTTTCAGCCTTTTTTCATTGTCATTATAGTATTACGGGGAACCCCGTAGCAGCCACATCCGTGCTCAAGCCTCCAATGATTAATATCTTATTCTTGATTTCTTATAAGGTAATCCGATCCCTTAAGCAGCATTGGCTGCGGGGGGGAGGTCCATGGCGCGCTGCGCGCCGGATTCAGGTCGAAGTTTTGGTGAGGGGTGGCGGATGAAGGCGATCGAGGGCGGGGGAGTGTGCAGAGGGGCGCGCGTACCAAAATGTTCACAGCGTGCCATTAAACGAGAGTGCGCGCCCCGGGGGCGGGCCACAGGGCCGCCACTAAACTACAGCATTTGTTACCCCAGCACCGCGGGCGCTTAGCTAGTATCTTATTATCAATTTCTAGTATTAATACTCAATATCTTATTCTTAATTTCTTATTACATAATAACGCTTAGTATCTTATTTAGTTGTTCTTAATTTGTTATATTGAAAAGGAAACATGGAGAGTGGAGAGGAGAAGGTTCCAGGTGATTGCCCACCTTTCCATTGACTTCTGCAAGCCTCAACATTTTACTAACAACCCGCTTTTTTTCCTTTAATGCCTTGATTGTCCTCCCGCTAGCGACGCAAAGAATCTGAAATGACAGGAAACAAAAGGCCTTCCCTTTTAGAAAATTGCGGGGGGGGGGGGGGGGGGGGGGTAGGAAATCTGACAGGAAAAGGAAGTATCAAAAAAAAAAAAAAAAGAGTGTTGGAACATATTCATGTCATGACGGAAGGCCAGCTTGGATTCTTGCTCACCTTTAACTTCTCATACTCTCCGTGTCGGAACCTGTTCATACGGGTCTTCAAGTCCTGTTTTGCGAAAAATCACGGTAAGCAGGACGTACGACAAAAAAAAAGACATGGTAGGCAAAACTGTCAGCGTCAAGGAAACCCTCACCGGAACTATTTCGTTTGTTTTTGTTGCATCTTTGAGTCCCCCCTCGTGTTTTTTTGAAATCCACATTCAGTTAAAGAATTGAATTCACAATATACCACATGTATATGTGTGTGTGTGTGTGTGTGTGTGTGTGTGTGTGTGTGTGTGTGTGTGTGTGTGTGTGTGTGTGTGTGTGTGTGTGTGTG